AACAACAACAATCTTTATAGAAGCAGATAACCACAAGTTTCTCCCACAGAGCAGCTGGCAGGTTCCAACCACCAACCTTTCAGTTAGCAGCAGAGCTCTTAACCACTGCACCACAAGAGCACCTCAGTTTTTGTAACACTAGGTAGTAAAAGTACAAGTAACATGCAAAACACATTCAGCTGAAACACTATGAGAGGGTAGGTTATGTTTACAGTTGGAATACAGCCCTCAAGAAGGAAAAGAAACCTTGATGTGGCATACGGACCTGAACTGATTAACTGTAACTATACAGTGACATGTACACAAATATTAAGTACTTTTTAATTGTTTGTAATCATTTATCTTCAGGCAAATGTAAGCATTTCTATGAATAAATGCTTTTGTTTTCCTCCTAATTCTCTCTTATTATCCAAATAACGAATGTCACTCTTTCAGTTCCAGGGAGTTTTTTTTTTTTTTTCTTTTCTTTTTTTAAAGAGCCCCTCTCTACTTATCAAAACTGACAAATGTTCAAGGAAGTCTGAAGCTAGAAATCAGCATCACTGAAATTTCCTTTTACCCCATAATCACCAAAGTTTAAAGCCTATTTCCTTTTTCTTTTATTGTTTTCATTATACTAAAGTATGTCCAGTTGAGCTTGCATGAGACTGTGAGTCCAAGAATGAGGCTTTAGTTCTCTCTTTGGAGTAGTAAAATGGGCTACTAATTAAACCTACCTGTGACTAACTACAGAATGGCACGTTTTTCTTCTCATGCACCTAGGGTGCAAATTCAGAAAGATTTTTTGTTCAGGCCTGGGAGCTCTGGTGGTGTAGTGCCTAAGGCATTTCACTACTAACCAGAAGGCTGGTGGTTCAAACCCACCAGCCACTCTTCGGAAGGAAGACTGGGCAATCTACTTCCGTAGAGATACCACCTCAGAAACCCAAAGAGGGGTCGCTATGAGTTGCAATCCACTTGATGGCAGTGAGTTTTGCTGGTTTGTTTTTATATTCAGGCCTAGTCTGTTCCTCTAACATACAAATGCTTAAAAGCCTTTTCAAAGGCAGATTTTTTTTTTAAAGAGAAAACTCAATGAAAAAACTGACCTATTTGTTTAGAAGAGAAAACAAAAAAAGCAATTTGTTTTCAAAGAAGTGCGTGAGGGTTTATAATATGCCATTTGGCATTTAAAAAAGATCAGTTTACAATTCACTAATAAATTGTTATTGCTATTGTTTTAATTAGCCAGAGTTGCAATTTGCTCTTGTACATCTAGCAAAATTTCAGAAAGATAACAAATTACATTAATCATCTAGCAATAATGTGATCATTTAAAATTGGTACCCAGACTTCCAAATGAGTTTTGCATCCCTGAAGACCTCTCAGGGCTTGACATAAAGTTACTAAAAGATTAGTATTGAGGGGTCAGTAGTTACTTATATTTGGACAAACAACAAAACTCTCTTTAAACTCCAGAAAACTAAAACCAAACACACTGCCATCAAGTTGGATCCAACTCATAGCGACCCCACCTTGGGTTTCTGAGATGGTATCCTTATGGAAGTAGATTGCCCAATCTTCCTTCTGAGGAGTGGCTGATTGGTCTAGAGTCTTCAGTTTTTCCACAGAATTTATTAGAATCAGTCCTTGACTCTAAATATTACCAAAGTAGTCCATGCATTTCTGCAAGGAATATATCAAGACAAAGGAAAGGGTGCCCTTTTGTATCTATAGATCTATTTGCTCTTGTAATTAGAGAACCAAAAACCAAACCAAACCCACTGCCATAGAGTGAATTCCGACTTACATCGACCCCCGCTGGGTTTCCAAGTAGATTGTCCCGTCTTCCTTCTACAGAGTGGCTGGTGGGTTTAAACCACTAACCTTCTGGTCAGCAGTCAAATGCCTTAGGCACTGTGCCACCAGAGTTCCTTAATTAGAGAAAAGGGAAGGGAATCTTTTTCACCGAGGGAATGAAAGGGGCAAAACAATTAAAATTTAAAACTATCTTCTTACTTTGCTTTTTAGATGCTGTTAATGAAAGCAATTAGATTTTTGAGGGACAATTATCATTATAGGCAGTCCCCTGATTAAGAATGAATTCTATGCCTACGTCTCTCTTTAAATCGAATTTGTAGTAAGTAGGAATGGTTAGGTATGGTCCATAGCTAATGTTGGTACTCAAACGTTTGTCTTAGTATATAGTATACCTTTGCATGCATGAAAAACATTAAAGAAACACTTCCAGATACACTGTAATATCTTTAACATAATAATACAATAAGAAGAATAAGAATGTTTTCACGCACATGGCAAATTTAGCGCCCATTGTTATTATGAATCATAGTTATATACCTTACATTTTTAATATCATAGGCTTTATGGCATTGGTTCTTAACTATGGTTGTACACAACTCAGATATTAGCAACCTAGGGTCTGCCTGTATTTCTATGTGAGGCAGATAGCACTGAGGAGTGGGTACAATCATCAGTTACCATGGAGTCGACTCCCATTCATGACAACCCCATGTATGTCAGAGTAGAACTGTACTCCACAGGGTCTTCAAAGACTGACTTCAAAAGCAGATTGCCAGAGATTTCTTTTGAGACACCTCTGGGTGAAGTCAAACCTCTAACCTTTTGGTTAGCAGCCAAGCACCTTAATCGTTTCCACTACATAGGGACTACATTGGGTGGCTAGGGAGGGTATAAATGCCATTAGAAACAATGAGCCAACTGACATTATAGAAAACCAGGAGACCTGGAAGAATGGGCTTCCCCTTCAAGGCAATGGCACAAGCCAGTGAGGACCCTTAAACTGAAGGAAATTAGCCAGGTCCAAGGAGTCAGACAGTTAATGAATAATTTCTATTATGATTGCCCTACTAACGTATGGTCCATATAATCATTGCAATGTAGATAAAATCATGCTGGTTGTTTAAAACATTTTTGGTTTATTCTAAGAAGGTAATATAGCTCTCTGCAAGGTTCTTTACAAGGGTATGGCCTAGAAAGACAGAAAATCTGGAGGACGAATAAAAGGGCTTGCTTTCTCTCTCTCCTGATTCTGTCTGAGCCAATATTTGATTATATTTTATTCAGGGGCACCTCAGCTTCAAGTAAAGCCAAAGCTTCTTTACAGATTGAGATGGAAGCTGAAGAAATCCACTCTTTTTTTTTTTTTTCTGTTAATATAAAAATAGAAATAGTTTGGTCATGAATTCAGGGCCATCCTGATTTTGCCTCTCCCTCCTACATGCTCCGCAAAACAGGTTCGCAGGTTGGCTCTGAGGATGAAATATCAGCATTTCAGGTCACGTGAGTACCTTTAGCCAATTGTTGCTTGTTACCTCCTGATAATTTTAAATGCCTACTATTTTTTCTTTTTTTCATAATATCCCCTTTAGACCCTCCCTCCAAACCCAGCTCAAAAGTAGTTGATAAGGAATCTTGCACAAGGCACATCTCAGAATATCTACATACATGCAACAAGTGCTAGATAAATAGTGGTACCTCAATCAGAATTTAGTAAAAGCTAATACGAAGTTAAAATCGTAACAGCGGAAACAGAATCTAACCCTTCAACTAACTACCAGCATTAACCAATCCCTAAAGTTTATTAGAAAACTGTCAACATGATCTGGTTGATCTTCAAATGCGTGATGGGAGGAGAAGGGAAAAAGTTATTTTTTTAGTTACTCCTGCTGCTCTTAGTTTTTATTTTATTCACCGACACTGGAAAACCTGGATTAATTTATACCCTCGAGTGTTATTGATGCACAACCTCTTTCTAGAAGTAGAGACCATTGTGCCCTTTGGACATTCCCTGAGTTTGTTTCTTTGTATCATTACAACTCACTAAGGGACATGGTTTTCATATTGGGCAAGGGTGTGAGGACTAACAGGTTGTGGAAATGTTTGTGACAACAAAGAGTTTTTATATTTTTAGAAAAATAAATAACATTAAGAAAAAACTATTCTAAAAACAGTAATGTAAAAGTTTGCTCCAGACATTAAAAGAACAAAGAGCCAAGAGTTTTTAACATTCATTCATCCTAGCCTAGGTTACATTACAACCTATCTAAATTCATCCCTTCTTCCTAATATTACAAGGCCCTCTGGTCAACAATTTTGCTGAATTTTAAAATATTATTTCACCAATAAATTTTCATTTTGTCTACTTCCTTAGACATCATTAAATCAGTACACACTTATAAAAACATCCACCAAAATATTATGATTATAAATATTTTGAACATGAAATTCATTCAGAACAATAACCAAACAAAACAAATCCCCCAGTGGCGTAAGGCCCCAAATCTCCAGTTTCTCACATCTCCAGGAGAATTCCTGCAGTGAAAACAGCAATACTCACACAGACAATATAAACTGTTACTCTGCTTGAAAAGTCACAGGGGACTACACAGGAAGAGCTGACTCTATATTGCTGTTTCCCTTTACAGTTTGAAATACAGGGACAACTTTCACTGTGGAGCTCTGACTCACACGAAGGCTTTGTAATGGAAGCCAGTGAGTTCAAAACATTTCAAAGCAAATTATGTGATCCTCTTGCCACTACAACAAAATTGAAATTTTCTGTGGACCATTCACAGTAAAGATCCACTAAAGCATTGGAAGGTATTAAAACTTCCTGGGGTTTGGCTTAATTTCTTCTTTGTGGGCGCTGGTTCTAAGAACTTTAGAATCACCCTTAGAAAAGCAACATCATTAACATACAAACTTAAAATCACAAATGTACATGAACTCCTAAACCTCAGAACTTACTAAAGTTAACAAAATTGCAAAAGTGAACTTCAAATAAAACTCCTCAATGGTGTATGGATTTGATAAACAACTACTAACACTTTTGTAAAAAACTAAGAGAACTCAGTGATTTATGAAATATTCTAAAAGTCCAGAGGGATCTTTTTTTTCTTTTCTTTTCTTTATTTTGTTTTCTAGCAAAACTGATTCATTGTCCATAGTTAGTTTATATATGTCATTTAGAATCCACTTACTGTTAGATGCTGGAACAGCCACGCCCTCATGATATTTGTGGCTACTTTGGGAAAGATGCCACGCTTTTTGTGACGCTTTTTGTCCTTATCTGGATCATCATCGTCACCTGTGCTGGGGGAAGCTACACTGTTGTCCAAGCCATCACCTGCAAACATAGTGAATCAAATTTTGACTGATGCTACCTTGACATGCTTTATTCAAATAGAATGCCTTTGGATATAAACAAAACCAAAAGAGCAATTGAAATGATTAATAGTTTCTTTGGTACTGTTTTTTTGTTTTGTTTTTTGTTTGTTCATTTGTTTTCAAGACAAAGAGAAAGAACAAGGTCTAGGCTCAAACGTAACTGGTTCTAAAGAACTTCTTCCAAAGAACAATGCTAAAGGTCAAAGGGAGGGAAATACACAATCTCATTAGTAGCTTTGTTGCCATAGTAATTATTCCAACATGTAGAGCTGAGACACATTAAGTGTAATTTTTATTGAGGAGTTAAACATGGTGGCAACCATTAACAGAGTTGTTGCCCCTACCTGGGTATTCAAATCCCACATAGAGTCACTGGCACCAACTTGTAAGAACATTCATTTAAGGTATCAACTATTTCCCATATGATCTACCTTAAAACGAGTTAAAGTAGGCCATGAAAATATAGGTAATCCATCATACAAATAGTTTGATATGGGCTGCTTCATAAAGGATATCAGGTTTAGCCTGGGGAAAATCCCTGAAATCATTTTTTTATTAGAAAATAATTATTTAGTAAAATAATGTTAAATCAAGACTAAGAATTATGGTATCCTAATAATCCAGATAGTTTCAAAAATGTCTTTAGATTTAAATTGTTCTCATTAAAAAATCACCTGCTGACATATTTCTAACATTGAATCTTACTTTCCTGTTGATTATAAAATTTATTTCTTCTAGAAAATGTCTTGGCTCCATGACACAATAAAATAAAAAAAAAAAACACAGTAATTTGTTTACAATGTCATATTAAAAATGAGAAAAATATGAAGCTTCAGCCTAAATATTCACCCTATCCAAAGTAAGTCATAAGGTGCCTAAGGAATTTGTATTCCATTTTTGGTTTGGGCACAAAATTCAAAAAGGAAAATAATAGTGGCCTAAGCTCACGCTGAAAAGTAGCTTAGCTCCTATCACATACCATCTCCTGTGAGCCACAGCTTGGACTGATTGTCCTAGCTCTTTGTGGAAGTTACTGGCTTTTAGAAATGAGCAGGTTGATCTGAGCCCAAAAAGAAGGGTATAGCACCAAGGTTTAGAAACGAGGTAACAAATGCACTGGAAAGCACATTCACTGGGTTAAATAAGTCATTGGTGAGCAACCCACAAGACCCAAAGAACCTGAAACTTTCCTAAGACAAGTGTCCTATTGGCTGTACACTAGAAGTTGCTGTAGGTATTAGGTGCCTGTGAGTCAATGCCCATTCATAGCGACCACATGTGACAGAATAGAACTGTCACAAAGTTTCCTTGGTTGGAATCTTTAGGGAAGCACATGGCCAGGTTTTTCTCCTGAAGAGCAGTTGGATGGGTTTAAACCACCAACCTTTAGGTTAGGGAGCTAAGCACTTAACCATTGTGCCACTAAGAACTAGTCTCAGATTTATTTACACTGCTTCAAGAATTTCTGCATTTCTAATTTCTGTTCTGTTGTTGTTGTTATTTGCCATCGAGTCTGTTCTGTAGATCCTTCATATAAAAAGAATTCTTTGATTTTCATTATTTTAATCTAATCTATAGTAGTTATGTTTCAATTAATCAGTTGTTTTTAACAGGTCCCTCAGGAGACCCCCGCTTCCCTTCAAGAAAGAGAATCACCCCAAAATTGCCTTGACTGGTATTGAGCTAAGGTTTAAAAAGTTTACTGCATGAGGAGCAGACAAATGTAAATATTTGTAGTTTTATTTCTGATAGGTCACAAATAGAAAACTTAGGAAGGTTGGGCAATTGACTTCCATAGTGATTCTGCCTCGGAAACTCAAGGAGGGGTCACTATAAGTCGGATCTGACTCCATGGCAGTGAATTTGCCTTGGTTTTGGTTTGCCTGCCTTTACACTTTTTATTAATTTAAAGTGTATAATTTTATTGGAGATTCATGTTTTTCATTAAAGTGACCCAAAATCACTGTGTTCTCACTGGAAGGAACCAGAAAAACCCACAGCTCCAAAGCCCTCATTTTATCAAGGAGGAAAGTGTTGTTTCTGTGACTTGCCCAAGGTCATGCTGACCCAGATGGAGCTGTTGATGTGGTGTGGGTGCTGGGCCAGGAGCCCCAATTCTTAAATCAGAGCTCCTTCCACCCCACCCCACTCAATATTTGCATAACCAAGTGTTTTACGAGGAGTCTTCTTGGATTTGCCTAATAAATTCCTTGAAAGTCCAGTATTTAAAGAGGCTTTTTATTCAGACAAGCAATTCTCCATATAAAATAACAATTCATTAAAGAAACATGAGAAAAGAAAACAACTCAACAGCATTTAAAATTTCAATGGGCTAATCAACTTCCAACATGCAAAAGGTAACCAAGGAAAAGAAACATATTACTCAATCATTGATTATATAAAAATGAAAAGCTTCCAACCGAATGACACTGTTTTTCACCACTTCACCACGATTGTTTTCCACCTTTAAAAAAAAAAAAAAAAAAACCTTTTCTATGCATCTCGAAACCCCTTCAGATTAATTTAGCAGGCAATGCCTAGTGCCTGCCTAGAAGAGAATTCATTGATAATTTATGGAAATATCTACTATAATCCAGCAGAGATGACTTTTTTCCAGCTTTGTGCATCAATAGATAATCAAGGCCTTAAAGCAGCCTTAGCTTCCCATTACCTCAGGCAAAAGAATTCCTGAAAGCGTGCCTTGAGGGCACCTGAATTATATACTCCATTAGGAGAGGAAGGCATTCTGCATTCCATGTGTAACACTCACCAGAACCTTTCCTGTTTATTTCTGCTGTTTGAAAGCAGAAGCATTAGGAACAGAATTTTTTAAGTGAAGACTTATGTAGATACAATGGAGAAACCTTTCAAGCAGGAGCCAGATCACCCCCTTCAGTCCCTGGCAGTGACCTCTCCAGAATAAAAGGTTTCTATTACATCATTAGCTCAAGCCAAAAACAGCCTTGGCTTAATGCACAGTTTGTTCTTCCTACTGTTTTTAGGCAAATACAGCTACTTTACTCCCATCTGGGAGGGAAATTACACTGCTGGGTTGTAATCTAAGACAAGATTTTCATTGGAAGCAAATGCTTTCAATCCAGTGTAAATACTGGTGCATGTTCAGAAAAGCCTAAAACAATAAACCCTGCTCCTTTCCAACACAAGTTAGGGAAATGGAGAAGATGGGGAAGGAGAAGAGCATAATAAAACAGACGATTCTAAAAGCAAACACTTTCATAGATTTTAATAAATTGTTTAACCTCTTCCACTTTCTAAAATTGAAAATTGATCTCGAGACGTCTCCACCTCAGAGGAAAGTCTAAATGGTCAATTGTGTCTTCAGCATTCGCATTCGCTGTGCAATTTGATAGTCACCTCTATGCGGTCTCGGGAGGATTTATTTCCTTTTTTTATTTTTAAGATCACTAAACAAACTTGGAGAACCACCGGGCGACCACACGGCAGCAGGCAGCAGCTCCGAACCACATTTGTAAAATGTCAGCAGTGACTTCATTGCTGGAGCTGACTTCTCCTGCCGCCAAATGAAGGCAAACTGAAAAGGTGGAAATAATCATAAAAATGATGCTAGTCCATAAACAAGCTTACAGCCTCATTAGGATAGCAGTAGGCTCCAGTGGGTGATTTATGCTCGTTTTGCTGATGCTATGAGGAAATGCCATAGGGCGACTTTAGCCAACTGCTAATGGTTTTTGACAGCTTCTTAGCAACTAGTGCAAGCAACGTTGTGGCGTTTGCTAGTGACAGAAACCGAAAATGTCATATTATCTGCCCATGTGTCATGAAGTCCATGTGGCAATTAACTAGCAGGCCAGTGACTGAGGGGCCAGAGGCTCCTGGAAATGGCCTTTGGCTATGCAGAGGCAGCCAACGGGCACTGAGCTCCCAGGCTGCACATATGCAACATTCTAATGCAGAAATCCACTTCCTGCCACTTCCCCAGCTCTGATGAGACTAGGCGGCTCAAATTCCTTTTTTCCCCTCACGGAAGTGAAACTCTGGGCTCCACTCTCTCTAGGTACTGACCCTGGCATTATCAGACGTCTCTGAAGCGATCTGCTTTGATATGATTATCGGAACAGCACCTTAATTGGCCATACCTGGTTCTGTGCTTTTTGGATGCTGGATTCAAAGGTGCTAGCTGTTTTCCAGCTCTCTCACAAATTAGTCTAAAAGGATTTAAGATCACTGAAGCAGACTTTGCCTGTCAGATGGCTAGGAGCAGAGCAACTCTGCACAGCAACAAGATGCTGTTTAAGAAACACCAGGCTTCTAACAAGCAGGAGAATCGTGGCCACACTTTTCAGTTTCTGAGCTATCAGAACCATGTACTATATGTCAAACTGTCAAACCTTTCAGCGTGGGCCATTTGCCCTTTCAAATAATATTTAAGAATTGTTTTTACAAAATTTTATAGGCCATGGTCTAGTGAAAGAGGCCAACCAACAAAGAATGGAATTTGTACTACAATTCGTCTACGGACAATTTCTTGTGAGACCTGGGCCTGTCCCCACGGAGCAAGGCAGGTGACCTGTGGCAGCTCCCAGGCTGTCAGAGAGCTCAGATTTCAAACACGCTCAACTCAAACATCCCGAGTCGCCTATTTAAGCATGCCCAGGCATTTAGACTGTGCTATCTCGTGCCTTTCAAGGCAGGATAAAGCAGCATTTATCGTATTCAGGCCATTCAATGGGTCAGACTGACCGTGTCAGCAGGGGCTCCTCTCCAGCAGGTCAAAGCCCTACTCCCATTTTTCTCTCCCTACTCACTCTCTCTCTCCCCCTAAGACTGCCATTCCCTAAAACCTACTCCACAGTGAAGCAAAAACAAAACCTAGAAAGCGTCTTTGATTTACATCACAACTGATCGGAACTTCCCGTGCCAGTGGGCCATCAGGTAAAAACAAAATGGGTTGTCTGTCAGAGGGTTCTTTATGTTACA